GGTCATTGATGAATACATTGAACAAGACTGGACCCAGGACTGACCCCTGCGGGACACCACTAGCTACAGGCCTCCAACTTGACTCTGCACCACTGACCACAACCCTCGGAGCTCGGCCATCCAGCCAGTTCTCAATCCACCTCACCGTCCACTCATCTAGCCCACACTTCCTGAGTTTACCTCTGAGGTTGTGATGGGAGACAGTGTCAAAAGCCTTGCGGAAGTCCAGGGAGACAACATCCGCTGCTCTCCCCTTACCTGTCCGGCCAGTCATCCCATCATAGAAGTCTGTCAGGTTGGTTAAGCATGATTTCCCTTTGGTGAATCCATGCTGACTACTCCTGATAACCTTCTTGTCCTCCACATGCTTAATGATGGCCTCCAGGATGAGCTGTTGCATCACCTTGCCAGGGCTGGAGGTGAGGCTGACAGGCCTGTAGTTTCCTGGCTCTTCCTTGCCCTTTTTGAAGACTGGTGTGACATTGGCTTTCTTCCAGTCCTCAGGCACCTCTCCTGATCTCCAGGACCTTTCCAAGATGATGGGGAGTGTCCTAGCGATAACATCCGCCAGCTCCCTCAGCACTTGTGGGTGCATCCCATCAGGGCGCAGGGATTCATGGATGTCAGGTTTGCCTAAATGATCTCCAACCCACTCCTCTTCGACCAAGGCAGAGTCTTCCTTTTTCCAGACTTCCTCTCTTGTCCCCAGGGTCCGGGATTCCTGAGGACTGGCCTTAGCAGTGAAGAAGGCATTCATTATCTCTGCCTTCTCTGCATCCTTTGTCACCAGGGCACCCACCCCCATTCAATAGCAGGCCCGCATTTTCCCTAGTCTTCCTTTTGCTGTTGATGTATTTGAAGAAGCCCTTCTTGTCCTTGACATCTCTTGCCAGATTTAATTCCAAATGGGCCTTAGCCTTCCTCATCACATCCCTGCACATTCGGACAATATCCCTAGATTCCTCCCAAGTGGTCTGTCCCCTTTTCCACATTCTGTAGGCTTCCTTCTTCTGTTGGAGTTTTATTAAGAGTTCCTTGCTCATCCGTGCAGGTGTCCTGCCCACTTTGCTCAACTTCTTGCTTGTTGGGATGTACCGCTCTTGAGCGTGGAGAAGGTGGTCCTTGAATATGAACCAGCTCTCCTGGACTCCTCTTTCTTCTACAGCCTGACCCCATGGGAGTCTTCTAAGAAAGTCCCTGATGTCCAGGGTTGCAATCATACTTATTGCCCTGCTTTCTCCTTGCAGGATCCTGAACTCCACTATTTCACAGTCACTGCAGCCAAGGCTACCCTCAGTCTTCATATTTTCAACCAGATCTTCCCTGTTTGTTAGTACAAGGTCCAGTAGCACACGTCTCCTCGTTGGCTTCTCCATCACCTGTGTCCAAAAGTTATCATCAGTGCTCTGCAGGAACCTCCTGGACTGTTTGTGCCTAGCTGTGCCCTGTTTTTAGCAGATGTCAGGTACAACTCCAAATGAGTAAGGTTAAAGTATGTTTTCCTCCCTCTTCTCCCTTACATATAGTTCCTTTTGCTATGGCGAGGCAAAGGGAAAAGCTAAGTGTTTCATGGGAGGGGAGAGCATCACTCCAGAACCAAGCCCTACACTTTACCTTTGAGCCTCGAAGATCAAATTTGCAAAGGACAGAGTCATGCATTATATATCTTACTAAAGTACTTCCACTGATGTGCTACTCCGCACAAGGAGGGGTAGCTGCCAAGAATAGGAACTGCATTCCTACATAAAGCATCCACCCTTAAAACTCCAGCGAACATGAGTTTGGTTCAAGTGCCAGCAACCTGTACTTCACTTGTCCATTCAGCTTTGAGAGTGATCAAACAGTGCAGCAGTGGTGCGGTACATATGCTTCATGTCAGCAGAGCTGGAAATCCAAGAATAGTCATGAGTTCAAAATGCTGGTTCCAAAATATACTGGGCTAGGATCAGACCAAAATGTGCAACTGAGTCCCAAAGGATGCTGTGCATGTGGCTTATCCAGCTGCAGGAAAACGCAGCTGAACTTTCAGCAGCGTCCCTTTTGTTTACGAGGACAAGGACTGAAAGCCACACATGTATTTAGCAGGGAACCGAGCAACATCCACAAGACTCTGACAGTATTAGCATAAAACTATACCTGGCAGGTCAGTCAAAACAATAAATATGACCAGCTAATGGCCACTGCATAAGGCTGCCACTGGTCTGGTTGTCCCTTGGGCCTGATTTAGCACATTTCCTATCATATTCACTGGCTGCAGAAAGCCTCCTGAAACCCATGCTGCTGGCTTTCTAACGGAAAGGACAGACCCAGTCAAAAGGACAAACCATGGAGCACTCAGGTGCTACCAGAGCCTTGAAACTGCAGACATATAGGAGAGGTTAGCTCAAGCCTAGCAGAAGTTTGTCTCAGTGTACGTGACCCTGGAAGAGAGCGCTGTGGAAAGTTCCATTTCTTCAGCTCCCTTCAGGTCCTGTTTTCTAGGATTTAAAAAAAAAGTCAGTGTCTAATAAGAAGTTTTATTCAATGGCTTGAGTTATTGTTTTAATAACAAGTGGAACTAAAGTTAGTAGTGGCCACTGAGAACTAGAGTAAATTAAAATTCCTTTAATTTCTGTTTTCAGTGAGCTGAATTGTTACACACAGAATAAATGGGAACTAATTTGTTTTTATGGAAATAAAATGCTAACTCACAGCAGCAGCACTGGACAAACAAAAGAAATGTACCTCAGCCAAAACTGTGCCCAGGACACCACCTGGGGAGCTTAAAGAGAGTGTGAGGAAAGGGATTGCGGGACACAATGGCAGAGTTACAGCCTGAGGAAGTGACCGATCATGTCAACTCTAGGCACACACAGATGAGCCAGCCTGCGAGTCCCACGTCAGTACGCTCCCTCGTGCGGTTCTCGGGCAGGCTCCATCCTCAAACTGCACCTGAGAGCTTCAAGGCTTCAATCTGCAGCACCCTCAAGGAAGCCCGTCCAGCAATTTTTGCTTGACGTCCACACATGAGGCCTGACTGCATCAAAGAGGAGGATAGTATTACAGTAGCCATCTCCATACATTTCTCAGCGCTGCTCTTCATGTGGTTGTCACTTGCGGTGGAGCTGGGGCTCTCTTGACTGGCATGGCAGCACTCAGCCTCAGCTCAGCTCTGACTCCGGAGGTTTGCAGGCAGCCCATCCAAGTTCAAGCTATAAATTCACTAATGAGTGTGGCCATTACAAGGTGTGACATACATTTCCTACTTTCTTTTTCTGATAGAAAATCTGCAGTTTAGATATTTACCTGTTATACGCTCTTCTATGCTGCGTCTCAGAGTCTAACAACTGCCAACTATTTTTTCCCCCTCTCATTTCACATTATCAGCTTACTTTTTGTTTGTTAGTCACAATTAAGGTCACTCTTTTCAAAAGTGGCTGGAAAATTCTCAAAGTCCTTCCTAGGTACAGCTTAAGAAACTTTCCAGCTTTGTCAGACTTTCCAATTTTTGCATATTGTTATGCTGAACTAAACCTTCAGTAAAAACAAATCACTGTTCAGTTGGTTGAAGTTGCTGTTTTTTTAAATCACTTCCAAAGCCTTTTTAAAAAGCCCACACAGGATGCAATTCTGTTTAGGAATAGGTAGGGACCTTTTGTCAGCAGTTTTGCTTAGGAGAAAAAAACCCTTCGAAATGCCCAAAGCTCACAACTGCATTGATGTGTTTGGACATATACAGTGACTGAACAGCCGTGTTGAAGAACTGAATGCGCATATCAGTAGTAAAATGAATATTTAGCCAGTTGCTCATTCAGTTGTGCCGAGTATGCAAAATCTATCGTAAACACTGTGAAGTCTTCTGATTTCCAAACCTGATCCCCTCCAACCGGTTTTGAGAACTGAAAAATAAACACATTAGCGCAAAAAAAAAAAAAAAGAGAGTGATTTTTCACTTCCAAATGAGTAGGACCAAGATAAAAAAGTACTGGAAGATTCCTGTCATATAATTACAAGAAGATAAATATTCCAACTAGAAATGTGCAGCTTTATTACAGTGGAAAGTTAATAAACTGTTAGGCTAGTTTTACAGACAGAGATAGATCAGTGAAGTTACTAAAATGACACTCATTTGCTGCCTCTGTTTTACAGTAAAGAAGCATTTCAAACATCAGCCCCTTATTCCAAATACCCATCTCTTCATTCTGTTTCACCCTGTATTAGCTTGGTATAACACTGACACTCCTACATTGTCATACATACATACATTTCTCCTTGTCATATACTTTAGCCTTTGTGCAAGTGGGATAAACAAATGTGCTGGGGAACTTGAAAGGGAGAGCTGCAAGGAAAGGATAGTAGCGTCATTTAATCTAAGTTATAGAAATCATTATAAGGGCAGCAGTGAACCGTGGAATATATTAATTATCTCTTCAACACTCAAACTTTCTTTATAAAAGGGTTTATAATAAATCAGTAGAAACAGAAAAGAACAGGTCAGCAAGGAGAAGAATAGCCAGTGAGATCGTGCAATTGCCTAGACTTCTTCCAGAGAAAAGAGATTGTTAGATCTCTCTAATGTCTCAGACTGTGCATCTCTTTCCTGTTCACGTCAATATATTTAAAATGTAAGACCTAACAGTAATCAACTCTTGAATGAAACTGGCCCTACAGTGCAAGCATGGAAAAATTAAACCAGAACACTGACCTGGATAAAGACAGTGTGGTACTTTTATATAAAGAAAAAAAATCAGAAAAAAAATAAACAAAATGGCTGCTAAGAAGATGACCCAGAGCGAACTGATCTCTGTCCCTCCTGAGATTAATGATGAAGTCATCGTGGCAGGTGTAAGGAAGAGGATTTTTGCAAACATAGCAGTTCTCACCGCACAAACACACAAAGCTGGGTGTTTGTGCTCTGCACATTTTAGCAGTTCAACTCCCAAGTTAGCAGAAGCAATGGGTGTTGTCGTGTTGAAAATAGAGGCCCTGCAGAGAGCAGCATGATGGCAGGAGATGAAACCTGCCTTCACCCATAAAAAGCAGACACGTCAGGCTTAACTCTAAAGCTAAAATTAAGCCTAAAAGTCTCCTTCACAGAACCACAGAATGGTTGAGGTTGGAAGGGTGCTCTGGAAATCTTCTAATCCAACCCCCCTGCTCAAGCACGGTCACCTACAACAGGTTGCCCAACACCCTGTCCAAATGGTTTTTGATCATCTCCAGGGAAGGATACTATAACTGATCTCTCTTCAGGCTAAAATAAAGCTGTCTTTCTTTTATCTTTCCTCTCACGGGGAATGCAGCACCCTCCTCAGTAGTGGTAGGATCTGGACAAGGAGTAAGCCTCATAGCTGTTGTATCATGCTCCAGGTACAGTTAGCTTTAGGATATGGTTAGGCTTGAGAGAAAGGACAAGTAGAGAGGTACTGTTGGCGTTAGTGTGGGAAGGAGTTGCCAAAGGACGGCTGTGTGCTTCATTGAGAGCTGTCCTTTGAGGATACCTCTTTCTCTCATCCCTAACCCTAACTGTAGAAGTCTTTTTCAGGCCAAGGATGGGACATAGAACCCCATTTCTGCCCCAGAAGAGAAACTCATCATAGCGCAGGTCTCTTGGCAGCACGCACCTTCCTTTGGCAGCCTCCTCTTACACCCACGCCAACAGTGCCTCTAGACTGCCTTAACCTTTTCTCTTAACCCTCACCCTAACCTGAACTCTAACCCTAACCCTAGAAGTTTTTCTGAGGCCAAGACTATGACCTGGACTCCCATCTTTTGGTCCAGATGAGAAACTTGTCCCGTGACAGCTCTCTTGGCAGCACACACCTGCCTTGTGCAGCCCCATCCAACACCCACCCCAATGACACCTCTTGTTCTCAACCCAAACCCTAACCCAAAACCAAGAAGTCTTTTTCAGGCCACGGCTGTAATGCAGACCCTCGTTCTGGCCTAGACAAGAAAATCCTCCCAGCACAGGTGTCTTGGCAGCACATACCTTCCCTCGGCAGTCACTTTC